TGATCTAGACTGCCCAGATATGTTGGGTACACTAGTCACTAGGTTCCAGTTCGGGTTTTGTTGGTCCCATTGCGTTGAAGCCAAGGACATATTACAATGATGTACAACATTGGTTGGACGCATTACAAAGAAGACCATCTCAAACCATCTCAAAGTCCAACAACTGCATGACCAGATCCTTGCGCTCCTATGGCTAGGTCTACCTTCTCTACTTTGCCTAATACTGTTACTACCAGATAGACCGACCCATATAGACACAGGGCACTTCCCAGGTCTTCCAACGGAAGGCTTTTCTGCACGTTCCAGGACTTCCGAGAGCTGGAAGCCATGCTCGTCTCGCACCTCGAGGGCACTCGTCGGAAGAAGACCGGCAGGCGCGCGTGACGGCGTGACGGCGCGACGGCGCGACGCGAAGGAGTGGGTAGCCCGGTGCGGTGTTGCGTTTAGGCACCGGGACGATGGTGGAGCTGGTGGAGTTGGATCTAGACTTAAACACACGTGTTCTCCACTGAAAACAAAACGGCCATCTCACCTGGCACCTCGAAACCACTCTCCGCTTCCTCATCGCTGCCAGGCGCGGCGCAAAGGTCCAGGACCTCATCGCGGGACAAGCGGTGGCCGTGGCGCCACTTGGGGTGCAGAGTGGCACGTGGCACGAGGGGAGCTGAATGGGAGCTTCGTGGAACAGGGAGGTGATGCGTGGAATGAATCCCAGTTTTTATCGCATTGAATCAGTTTGACCTGGTTGAAAGATGTTGAAATGGGGTGTGCTGAAGGTTTTGTTGCGTCCTTTGGAAGTTGGCATGGGATTGCTGATAATTAGGATGTGATTTGATGTACACAACTGTTTTGGTGGTTCTACAGTTGCGTTGGCTCAACAAAGGATTACGCGGTTATATTCGGGATTTGACTCCAGTGGGGGTGAAATGTGATGTTTGGGCTGCTGGGGCATGAACAAAACATTTGTGCATATTGTGGGCCTATGTTTGCTGCGGCGGCGGCTGGTGCCAGTGTACTGCCTTGGTTTGCGCTTGTTGGTCAGCTCAGGCTATTTCGAGAAATGTTGGAAGGCAACTTGACAGCAAGCCTTGAGGTGATCCTGAAGTGGAAAGAATGACCATTTCAATTGCATTCATTCCAGGTGTTTATTCACTAGAGTCTCCAAATTCAGATCAAGTCGGTTGGACTGCAGAGCCAAGCATGAGGAGTTCAATATGATTGCACTGGACTGGACCTATATCTAGAGACGTACTACAGAAAGTAATTTGCTAGGCTCTTCGTGCAAACACCCATGTAGTATCATTATTGACGATCGAAGGGTTCCTCTTGGTTTCCTACATAGCTCATCAGTACGCTGTGTTCTTGTCATAGGGAAGTTGAACACTCCGACTGAATAGGCTCGCAAGAAAGTGACCATGTTCGCTCGCGGTTTACCGTGAGAATTCCAACCCTTCATCAAGAACGTGTGCTGCATGAGAATGATCTAAGGACAGGATCAGCCGTACAAGGACGGCAATCAGGTTGTTCCTTGTGCCCCAGAGTAAGCAAACGGCATGTAGCGAGACCCAGCACACAACATCACACAACAACTCCTTCTTCAATGAAAGAACTCTAACAAAAAACTACCTCTCTATGTGTTTTGCTTCGCTAACCAAACATTTTCTGTCTTAAATGTTCGTCCTCGCCAGGAGCCAACACGATGGATCCTCTACTGTTCAGCGGAAACGGTGGAAATCCCCAAGAGCATCCTGCGTTTTTGCTTCTGTAGCTGGGCTATTTTGGATAGGCAAAGAAATGGATAATGGTCAAGATGTTAAAAGAAAATCACCAAGACGAAGAGTACGACAATACTAAAGATCAGGAACTTTTCGGTTTCACTGCTCACTTACATGTGCACGTGTTCAAATTAATATCCAATGCACATTTGACCTTTCGTGGTGATCCTTGTCAGACTAGGACTCCTCCCCATCCAATTCCATGTGACACTACAGCACTGTGACGAGGGTCTAGCATGCCCTTCAGAGCCTCCACGCGAATTGAGGCATTCAGAACGTGATGACCTTCTTCGGCATCGGGGAGAATATCGACCTGGCGCATCTTCCCAGTGCCTTGAATCGATGTTTGATCCCTGCGTGATCAGCAGTTGCCAACAGCTGAGAAGCGGTTGTGGTGTGTGAAAGGTCCACTCCGGGTTTAGGGTTCCAGAGTTCCATGGACGCCCAGGTTCAAGAGCAGCTCAAAGGAAGAACACAAAGGATCTCAACACAGTTTCCCAATGTTTCTCACATCAGATCAGTTCTGATCTGGGCAGTTTTGGAGGGTTTCATCCGACTTTCGGGACAAGTTTCCCAGATCCGCTTTGCAGCTGAGCTCGAGGTAGCCTGGTTGATGATCTGGACCTGCAGGCAGTTTCTGGATCCTGTTGAGTGGCTTTTCGGCGATGCACCGCCAGAGATGTTCGGGTCACCGATTTCTTTTCATGGCTGGGTCGTTCGTTGTTTGTATTGGCTTTTTGAAATACGCGGCGCAGCCAATCCTTCCAATATGGCAGCCAGCGCTTGGGTGGCACACGTCGGGTGTAGGCAATGCTTGAAGGTCGACGTGGTATGCGACACCCAGGTCGACGCGCCCTTTTGTCATGTCGCGAAGCACTCGCTGTGGCTACCTCCGTCGCCCGTTCGTTCCTTCTGGAACGACATTCTGGAGGGAACTGAACACCTTCTTCTCCATGCCACATGGTGCCCTATCCCCATACTTGAAGCCTTATCAAATCCAAAGGCATCCTCTCGGCCATGCGCCAGGCGACGGCGCGCCAGGCAGGGGTTGGCTTTGGATGGTTTGGGTGTTGGGAAGACGAGAAAAACGTGTTCCTCCAAGTATAGACACTGGAGGTGGGGTGGATGATTTCACAAGACACTAGTAGCGTCCTTGCTCCTGGTAGCGATGCCAGGATCCCCTAGTAGCGTCCTTGCTCCTAGTAGTAAGGCCAGGAGCCCCTAGTAGCTTCTTGTTCCTAGTAACAAAATGAGGTTTGCCTGGTTGTTGCATGTGTTTGGGGTGTTTGTGAATCTAGAACTCACCGATACAGGATGTAATGCAAAATGGTTGGAGTGCCCCCTTCTAGTTACACTGCAAAATCGAATCTCTATTTACACAACCTGGGATCGACTCAATGCATGATCGCACCAACGATCTCCTTTCATGTGTCCAATGTTCGTTGTGCGCCTCACGCGCCCAGTAAGCTGCCAACAGCTCAGTGGACCCAGCACCCAATTGTTGTAGGTACCTCTTTGCAGACACAATGCTCTTTCAGAAAGTCCCCCTAACTTTGGATCGTTTGACACATCCCTCCCCATCACCTGTTAGCTTACAACATCTTATAGAAAACGCCTTTGACGACCTAGTCCCTAGCCCCGTTTTTCTTGCAGCTGAACCACCCAAGGCGGTCCTACCCCTGTCATCCGCTGTTGAACCGGCGAAGGCCTTTGAGTTGGTCGGCCGCTGGGGCCTCGTCTCCTCACCGCTGCTCCGCGAAGCTTTAGGCACCGACGGTGACCGCTGTGTGTCAAAGCAAACTAGTAGCTTCTTGTTCCTAGTAGTAAGGCCAGGAGCCCCTAGTAGCGTTCCTTGCTCCTAGTAGCGATGCCAGGAGCCCCTAGTAGCTTCTTGTTACTAGTAGTAAGGCTATAGGAGGTCACCCCATGGCATGTATGGCAGAATTGCATGCGTGCCACCTCGATCACTTTGGAAAACCCACACCTGATCTTGATCTTGGAGGCAGGTATGAAGTGTATGAAGGACAGGTCAATAGTGAGGGTTTCCGGACTGGCAACTTGTCTTGAAGGCTACATCGCACAGCGGCATCCCCTGCTTACGGTTTGCAGCTCCTTCACGGACGAGTCATGGCTGTGAATTGAATGGGAATTGTAGCAGTCATGAAGGGGGGGTGACTCATGCAGTTGGGTTTGAAGAAGACATCCTATAGAACCGTTTCATCCGACTGCTCTTGTCCAGGACTACTGTTTGAAGTAACTCAGAAGTCCGTCCGTCTTGGACGGTGAAGATCCATCTCAGTGAAACAATTCGTTTTGCACTCAGGAGAAGCAAAGCAACCATCTTCTCTCCAGCATGGTTGTCAGCATCAAGGCCATGAATGTAACACTGAACTGCGGATCCGGAGGATCCTTTCGCCGAAGGTCTGTGATTCACCCGTGTATGGTCCGTCCCGGTGTGGATCCAGTGGGTCGCTGATCTGTGTCTTGGGAGATGAAGAATGAGAAAACACCCTGTTTCTTGAAAGAACTACTGGCTGACCAGTCTAGTAGACCACCTGTGAGTTGGAATCGGTTCATTGAAGAGAACAAATGGATCAAAAAAGAATACCTTAAGTGACAGAACATAAGAGAGCCATGACGTCAAGAGACCTGTCGCCACGTCCGTTCATTGGCGAGGCTGCAGGGCTACAGCACTTGTCCTTCCTCAACAGGGCATCGTTGACGGAGCGTGAACGGCGAGTTCCTGCGTGAACGTTGCGTGAACCGGCCGGGATGAAAGAAGCCACGAAGCCAAGAACGTGCAGCAGTAAGGCACTTAAAGAAAGATAGAAAGAATGGATCGGTGGATGATGGATGAATGTAGCAGGATTCATAAGACGTCAGGCTGGTGTTGGTGAGAGATCGGGATACCGGGATACCATTCTGTGAGTGAAATATCCCCAAATCTACAAGAGAGAAAACGCTCACACTCGAGAATGCCGAGATATCCGCAAAAGATCATAAAGAGTCAGTGGGAATCCAATGGAGAGGCTTGAGGTTCCAACGACTGTGTCACCATGTGCTCAATCAGCTCAACCCCTCCAATCATCTCCAATCCACGTGACTTCCTTGGAGTCTTCTTTGCTAAAGAGCAAATTAGATGTCACAAACATGTCGGTCTCCCGGTCTCCGCGTCGTGCGCTTGCGCAAGCGCGACGGCAGGACTGGGTGGAGGAGGAGTTGATTATGCACGCCTTGCCCTGGACGCAAGAGCGTTGGATCGGCTCGGTGTTGCAGTCCTTCTCGCCCACCTTGACCTATCGCAGCGACGGCCGGGGGGGTGCGGTGTGGGGTCGGTGCCCGAAGCGTTGGGATCGGGTGGTGGTGCTAGGAGAATGGCTGGTGGACTCGAGGTATTTGGATGAAGTTGGTGGTTTCTTGAAGCAGTGAGAACGCAAGGAAGCGTGGAGAATGACAGGTGCGGTGGTCAAAGTGTCCAAAAGGATTCTAAAAGGTCTAAAGGGGTCGGAAGGAGATAGTAGTCAAGAGATGAGGGCTTCAATGCCAGCAGTTTCACCATGCTTGCAAGTTTTGTCAAGCACTAGATTGTACATTGTACATCTTAGCCAGGTTGGTATCTCTGTTTATTTGAAAAGTCTGCTTGAAGATACCTCGTGTTCTTCGCTTCGATCACTGGCCCGTCGCCAGGTGAAACCTACCGAGTACTGGGCGCTTTGTCCATGAAGATGCCACTTGGGCAATGCAGAGAGACAGTCTCACCAGCCCTCCGTGAAGCTCAGTGAATCTCAGTGGAACCACAGACGTACAATTCAAACTGTTCAAGTTGAATTAGACCTACTCCAAACACGAGGGGCATGAAGGAATGGAGTGATTGGCCTCCAAGACTACCTTGTAATCTTGAGTTAATTGCTTGAGCAGCAATCGACCTTGTCTAGACATGACTCCTAAACTGATTGGAAGATTGTACCACAACATTCAGAGATAGTTGCACAGAGCCATATACTTGTCCCATAGGCTTCGAGAACTATAGGTTCTTTGGCCTCAGGGAAGAAAGAAGTCATCGTCAATCTTCAACATCACGAAACATTGGAATCCTGACTGAGAAGAGTCTAGAAAGTCTAGAAAGTCTGACCGAATGGTCCCGTTCACTCTGCCGTCTCTACTGAGATCGGAATTCCTGCAGCTTTTGGCCAGCGCCTTACTGACCTTGGACTCGCCCTTCTGGCTACGGCTGGTGCGGCGGTTTCGGGCTGGTTGAGCCGCAGGGCGGGAAGGTTTCAGGTTTCTTCCCCACAAGTCCTTTGAGAGTACTTGTTTCTTTGTTTGCAGGGCTTTTAGAGATTTCCATCATTTTTGAGGTTGACTCAGGAGTTTTGCTCTCCAGAACTTTCACAGTTTGCTTGTACAGATTGGATGATTGAATGTCAGCACCAAGTCATTGTACCCGTGATTACCCGTGCATGCTAGGAGATTGAACACATTTCAACACATCCCACACGCGCCAAGCAAACTGACTCCGTGATCCAGGAGCTGAACCGTGCCATCCGAGCTTTGCAAGATGCGCGGCGCGAGTGCATCGCCTGCCACGCGGCACTGGCCGGTGATGCCTGTGCCATGACTTGGTCTAGAAAGCTGAGAGACAAAGTCGTTCGGATCCATTCTGCAGGATGTGTGATTCGGAGACTCAGCCACTTAAGAATGCCACTTGTATAACCCAGACACTCCACTGGGCTGGCATATTTACATACATTGGGGTGGTTCCAGATGTCAATGTAGGTAAATCTTCCACACACGAGTGTTTGAGTAAGGTTGTCATTGGTGGGTGTCAGTTTTCTTGGGTCAACTACTTGTATTTTCCCTGACAAGTGACAGGAACCACACATTATGATGTGCTTACCCTCGGCCACAGAAAGGATCAGAGAGAGTTCTCCTCAAAAACAGTTGTGATCTTTTCTTTTGGAGGCACAGGTTGTTGAAGCCTCATTTGGTTGGCATCTCCTTTTTCTCACCAAATGAGAGGCACACAAGGTGTTGAGAAGAAAACAGCTTTGTTTGACGGCCCAGCCGGTCCGCACCACGTTGCTGTGCTGCTGTGCTCGGCCCAGCCTGGACGTCGCAGCTCTATGCCGTCTACAAAAGTGCTCAGCTGGGCATGGCATACTGGGCGAACCGGCCACTGGCCTCGTGGCTGAACACGTGGATGCTTGGCAGATAGCAGCGTCAGTGTCGATGATTTCTGGATGGCAAAAGGTCCCCTGCCTGGGGTTGATTCTGCAGGGCAAGGCCTATCGCTGCTCACATTCGGATGCTGTTTGAAACCTGTAGGCTGGTAGCGAGCCACTGCAGCTGACAGGGAGTGGTAGCAAACTGTGTAAATCCTTGTTCCCACAACCTTCATGCATGCCGAAGTAAAGGCAGTTGGATCTTGAAGCTGTTCTTACTCATCCTTTCTACACAAGCTGCGAATGCTCACCCTGAAACCCCTTTGCAACCCACACACGTCCAACCTCCCAACCGGCGCAAAAGCGGCACAAACTGCACCTGCGGAGGTCGGAGCACACGAACTTCTTGGCAGATTGGGATCCGAAGAGCCCTCTGGACTCAAAGCCCTTTCGGTTGGCCTCAGTGAACGTGACTTGGATTGTGCAAACCAATGGCCACAAGTGGGGCAGCCGAATTCAGTGTGAGGGAAGATGCCAATGACCATGACCTTATAAAATTATAATGACTAAGGCTGCTGAAGAACCGTGTGAAGTTGTTCGCCAGGAAGGAAAACAACTCAAAGTGAAGGAAAATAATGTATGAAGCAACATCAACTGACTGAAGTTGTTTTCCTCACTGAGTTTGACTCTTTGAGTAACAACTTTCGAAAACAACTCAAACTGACTGAGTAACCAGTTTACTCTTTGACTGAAGCAACATCAACTGTCGATCCCAATTCCTCAGTCTACGACCCCAAGAAACCCAGTTCAACGGCCCACTCTCCAAGCTTCACGCCTCAAGGACATCTCAACGGTTCTCTCCTCCTACTACCGCGAGGGCGGCCCTCACTACTTGTGGCTGGAGGAGGTTTCAGTGCTTCGGCAGTTACATCACTGCCAATCGCTGGGAGTTAGACCAAGACTCCGGTGCTCTGACATTGTTCCAACTGATGCTGCATTGGGCATGAGTCAGAATATGTGTTGATTTGGCCAAACGAATTGCCTTAGAAGCGAGGGGACATAGTTCGCATTCTCAATCTTAGTGTATCTTAGTGTATTTGTGCATCCAAAGACATATAAAAGAAGACTTGTTTTTGGAGCTGATCATTTGTCGGCTCTTCCGCCAGTGAAAACACCAAAACCGAGGCACGCGAACGTGGAAGCTCGCCGGATGCCGAGAGCTGCTTGCTGCAGATAGTGAGGTGGTTGGTCTTGGGGAATCAATTGAGTGGTTCCGGGTGGGTGAGATGGTTTTCGGTTCTTTGCAGAAGCTTTTGCCTGGATCGCTTTCTTTTGGAAAGGCGAGGGTTGAAGTTTTGCTGAGATAGGTACCGCCCAAAAGGGGCCCTATTCCAAGGACAGACGATTCAGCTCCTGGTTGCAGCTTGGATCAACAAGTGGGACTAACCGGTGTCGGTCTCCTGTCCGGTCTGACCGGCCGAATTACACCTGATTCATTCGACCTGAAACTTGTCCCATGAAACGTTAAGGTGGAGGGAGTAGATACAGTAGAATGTGAAGACAGAAGCTATTCACTTCTTGTTCGGGCTTGTTAAACCTCTTCCAGTTTGGCGAAGCGGTCGTTTCCGTTGCCCCTACGAGCTTTTAAGTGTGGACAGATCTTTTTGTGTGACGTGTTTTGATATGTGAGAAGACGGAGGATTTTCCTTCCCTGCGTTTGACTTGGTTTGGTCGTTCTTCATAACAACTCCACTGTCCTGTTCTGGCAGCTAGCTGCCCCCGAAATGGCCATTGGGGTTACATCAATCTCAACACTAATGCTTGCTGCAACAACCAAACTAGCCACTACTGCGTCCCCAGCAAAGAAACATTCACACTCTTGTTTCCACAACCGTCAAGTGATCATCTCAGGCAATGATATCATTCTTAAATAGCTACTCAAAAAGAATCAAGATCCCTAAAGAGACTCCAAACACAGAAAACCCTCCACAAGTGCCGCCACTTCTTTCGTCTTTGGGACTCGCGACCCAGCCAACCCAAAGACCAACGCGTTTTATCTGTACATGAGCCGCTGGGTCGGTCGTGCTTCGAAGGAAGGGCTTCAACTTGTTGGTGCGGGCTGGGACGATGGCCTTCTCGTGCATGGCGGCCACTATGACGCTCGGAGCACCGTCAAAGTACCGAGCGTGCTCGGAGAACTGCGGATGCTTTCCCGGGTGAACCGGGTACAATTTCGATTTTGAAGTGCAGGGCATTGATAAACTAACTCATATATGGAAGAGGGCTCCAGGTTCTATACGTTCTATGGGAATCTTGTGACTCACCTCCGTCAATGGCTGAAAGCATATTCACCCACTCAAATCTATTTGCGCAACAAGTAAACCCAGCTTACCCGATGAAGAGAGGTGGAGGATTCCAATGTTACGTTGGAGGAATCCCTTTTGTAACTTTGTTTTATCCCATGGCCCTCACAAATATCCATCTATATATATATATATATGGACCTTCCCAGTTATTTGTGCTCAGTCAGCGTCATGCGCGGCCCAGGAGGGTGAGCTGCCACCGGTAGTGGCCTGGCGAAGACCCGGGGCTAGCAGCAGATTTCAAGGCCTCACAGCCAGTGGCCCCCTTTGCTGTAGGTGAAGAGCTTTGAATGAATCTTACAGAAATATTCCAATCTTCACTAGAGTTCACTTTGAAAGATGTTCACTGCTGGTGTGGTGCAAGTATTCTTGAAAGGTGTCTGGCAAAGTTCGTGTAGAGAGTGACAGATTGGCAGTGCCCCGACAACGGAAGCGAAACATACAACTGCCACCACAATGGTCTTCCAACATTCCAACACGAGTGCATAGTGGCTTTCATCAATGTGAATTCATTGAAGCTAAACCACCCCAGCCATCCCCTCATGGACTAGTTGTCCCACAAATGCATTTTGCTGTAATCAGCAATAAGTTGCTTATCAGGGAGAGCTTGGAGGGGCTACCTTCAGATTATGGCTAGACCCAGGAATCGCGTTCTATTTCTGGGATTGGATGCGCAGTCAAAACGTGCCAAAACCACAGTTTCAACCCGTGCAAGGGGTTGAGGAGCCTTATTCACAGGGAAAGTACATTTAGCCTTCAGACCAATAATATTCACCAAGTAGGAAGAGGCTGTTTGGACACGCGCACTATGTTTGCTGCAATTAAGAGGGATTGTCCATACTTGCCCATGTTCTCCGTCAAAAAGCATCCCAAGGGCACCTCAAGACTTGCCTGAAGACTCAAGATCGTCAAGATGTCAATGACTGATTCTCTTATCCAACCAATGTCCACCGATTCTTCACACCCCCCGCATCCTCAAGCCCAGGTGATCCGCCTGTGTCCAGGCCGAGCGCCCACCAGCGAGGCCGACGCCTGGTACCTGTGCCCGGTGGTCGTGGCCTCGCAAGACGCCTTCGGCGCAGATCTGTTGGCGCGGCCCGTGCCGTGGCCAGACGTGGCTGTCACGGTTGAGAGGTGGAAGGATGGAAGCATGGAGATGGGTGGAGTGAATCGATTGTTGCAACAAGTTCTGCATGGAAAACTTGGACTCAGCCCCCACTTGCCGACTTGCGATCCCAGGATTTGTGGGAATGTTTTACTCGTGAGATTTGGCCATTTGTTGTGTGGACCGTTCGACAAATGATGGAGCTTGTCACTGGGATGTTCTGATTCCCTGCTGGTGAAGGCGTGTATTCCTCACAAATAGACTCAATCCAGGGTGTGGTCCATTTCCAGTAACAGTTGCAGTCTGCAAAAGACTGACTATCACCAGTTATAAGTTTTGCGAAATTGCATTTACATGCCTTTACTAACAATCATCATCCATTGGTTCTGGTAATGGGATATATACCCAAGTTCGATCCAGAAAATGTGTCTAATTAATATAGTCGATCAAGTTTCTTTCTCTATCATATTGGAAAGGGTCATTTCGATGCCCATTTTGATACTCAACAAAGCCTGGTCCGTCAAATGGCTACTTGTTCCTGGCCTTGGCACGCTGCACAAGAAAGTCACCCTGCCTTCAGCAAGGATCAGTGAGACTTTAATTACAAGAGACCAGGTCAGCCATAGTTTGTACAAGAAACCGACGCAGAACTGATGCTGCTACTGGGTCTAGCCTACTGCTGGGTATGCCTCAGATGGTCAGCTCCAAACTAGTTGAGGCAGGTGGCACCAGCGAGGAAAAGCCTGGGACTGTTGGAAAACGAAAGCAGAAGAGTCATGGACCGGTGTTGCTCTATCCCTGAAAACCTCAAGCTCGTGTTCAACATAGGCCTGCCAGAACAGTACCAATTGTGGCGAGCGCTGCCCAAGAAACTAAAAGTAATACATTGTCCAAGTGTGAGCTACTGGGGAACAGAGGTTACTTTGGCCCACAGGCAGTGTTATTGAATGTCCAAAGCCCCATACAACAGGTGGCTTTGCTTTGTGGAAGGGAAGGTATGTTGTACCCATCAGTTGGTGACTTGGGTGATCAGGTGTAGAAAAACGTGTTTGAGATCTGGATACTGCACTAGAATCATTCAGGAAAGTACTTGAAATGGATGGTTACTCGGGTGCTTTCCAATTGCCCTGCAGAGCCAAGGTGGCCCATGTCTACGTGAGGCTGGAAGCATAGAGTGCAGGTATTGACATGTGTTCAGCTCAGATGAGCAATTAATATTCACAAGTTGTGAAGTGGAATCAGGAAAGTTGTCCTTGTAAAATTCATGCCATTTGGCTGTTGGGCAGGCGGCGTACGTTAAACTGTGTGTGCACGTTTTCCTTGATCGCAGTGCACGTAAGGATTGATATTGCTAATAACGTAGACGAGCTCGCCTTGACCACTGATCCTGCCATGTTCAGACAAAACATGTGTTTTATTGGATTCTCTTTCTTCATGGCCAACGAGTTTGCAGAGGCTAAAATTCCATCTAATGTGCTTCTACCATAGTCACCTGGCAGATCAACGACCTGTTCACAGCATCAGATCGAAGCCACGGTAGGACCTCAAGCAACGCAGCGCTGTGTGCTCTTCATGGCGTACGCTTGGTGTGCTTCGCATGAGCCTGGACGAGGTTGCACAGACCTCCAAGATGAAGCAGCTTTGCTCAGAGAACTAGACGCAAATTTGGCGGCCAACAGTGTTGTTTTTGTGTGATGATCGGAGTAGATGTGGATGGATTCCCAACTATGCTTTGTGGTATGTTTTTCAACACTATATATAGTGATGCTGCCTTGACATCCGCACGTATGCAAGTACTGTCTTAGACCAAGAGCAGACACGTCTTAGCAGGGAAGCATGGTCTTCACCTGCCCGAGCCACAGCGGTTTTCAGTGCCAACATGGAGAAACTCCGATGTGAAAATTGCATGAAATGGTGGCGGTCAGGGCCTTGGAAGGAAGGCAGCCCAAACCTACGTTTTGAGACAGAAAGCAACGGAACATCCAATCGATCAGATGTTCCGATATGCATGGTGGGATTTGATGGGTGTTCATCTTTGTTCGGAAGCACCACCTCCCAGAAGAAGCTGGGTGGAAGTTGGCTTATCATTCAACCGGTGACCAAAGAATAATCATCACTTAAGTAGGCATCCTGCGACCTGCACTAGCAACCAGAAGGGGGACCATCTATATAATTAGGCCCCATAGGAGTTTTCCTTCGGTGAGGTTCGGGCACAGTTCCTTCTGATGGCGAAAGCGCCCAGTTCAGCAGGAGCTCCCAGACATCTTTGTACAGTTTCGATGTGCTCCTGCTCGGAAACCTCCAAAGATGAGGGCTGCAAAAAAGGCGGCAAAAAAGATAGCAACTGATCTTGGGCTTTGACAAAGGTTGCGTCGAAATCTTGGAGCCATCAACCTGTTCATGCAGAGATTCACAGCTAAAGTTTGCAATTTTGCTTTAAAAAAGAGATATGTTTTGGGATTGCTTTCCTTTGCTATTTTGTCTCTGATGAGTCAACACTCCTGTGGGCTCGAGAGGAAAACTTCGCTTGGGCATTTGCAGTACATAGGCATTATTTGTGCACTTGTAGGGCATTGAGAGTTCTTAGATTCCCTCGTTTGTGTATGCCTTTCAGCTGATGTGTCGTGACACCCAAGAACCTTGTTGCTTATCACCAAAGACAAGCAGACTGACTACCTGACCACATGATGCCGGCTGGCTGGGCGCGCCGCTCAGTGTGGATACCGGATATACACTCTTGCTTGTAGATATGGGCTAGAAATGGCTAGAGAACTGTGTCAATTCTGAGTGACAGGAGAATCAATATGTGTCATTTGTCTAAAGATAGGCCTCAGATTGGGAGTTCGACTTCTGTGGCTTATGGCATTGGCACCATTGCAAAACTCAAATGGTTGATTTGGACGTCGGACTGGATGTTGTACTGTACAGTTCAGTGAAAACCCAGTAGAGGGGGGAGAGAGAGAGAGAGAGCGCGAGAGAGGGGGAATCTTAGAAGAATGGTGTGTTAAAAGGGTGTCAACATTCTTCGGGGAGAAGATCAATCGGCATACGGCATACACACTGCTGTTCTATGAATCAAAGAGTTTTTGAAGAGCAGCAAGACACATTCAGATGGCAAAGATGAGACTAAGATCCTTGAAACAGGACCTGGTTGATTGAGGATTCCTGTCTTAACCTGCATCACTTGGAACCCGGAAAAAGCCGTGCATGACACCCTGACACCAGGCAGAGCGCCCGGAAGCTCCGATGTTTGACGCTTTCGTCCACGTTGGGCAGCTCAGAGGGGAGGTTAAGAAGGGTGATGTGGTGAAGATCAGGTGACGGAGGGTCAGACCGATGATGCAGGAGCCTGCATTTTGCATGTTTTCTTTTGGGGATAATATGATCATCTATGATATTCTCTTCATGTCTATCGGTAAGCCATTGGTGCTTGGTGGTTTGGCATATCGCTGGAACTCTTTGGCATGCGGCGTTCGGCCCGTTCGGAATGCTGGCCGCTTTCCGAGGCGAAGTACGTTGGTATCGACCTTGCCTCAGGGACTTGATGCATCTCATTGGACGAAGAACGCAGCGCCTTTGTGTACATCCTTAACGAAGGGGATGTTGAAGTAAGAGCAGACTGAGATTTCTTGGACACATGCGGAGTGACTGAGCTCTCTTGAACAAAGATGTGTCTTGACAAAGCAAACACTGCATTCCGCTATATTTCTCAAGTCTTGGAAGATCGAGGGACTGGGTGACCATCCACAAAATGCTGAATCTAGTTGACAATAATTTTGCTAGGCATCGGATCAACCAGAGGCAGCTCGATAAATAGAGTGAACAGTTCATATCATCAAAACGGCATCGTTCGCCCAGAAATCCTCTCGCTGCGCACGTCCGTTGAGAATCTCACTATGGGCCCTTTGTTGTGCGGGTGGATGCCTATCCAAACATAAGCTATAGCTTTGTGAGCATGCTAGCAGTCCAATTATCGTTATATAATTTGGAGAAAGGACCTAAAGGAGAAAGATCACGAGTAGTACAGATAGGAAGCATCTAACTCTACCATGTGGAATTGAGTGAAGATCTCGCCAGACCAGTAAATTAATGTGTATCTATTTGGCGACAAAAACAACTCCCAATCTTTAGTCGTTCAGACAGTCATCGAGGGTGTAGTAGCTGCGAACAGGCAAGTTATTGCTCACGGCGGCATATTGTGGGTGTTTCAGCTTAAGCTGTTGATGAGCTTTTAGGCTCAATATATTAAGAGTTTTAGTTGTCGTGGCTGTCGTCTTGTGGGACCTTATCTTAGTTTATAGTAATGTTCTTTGCAGTCGCTACAAGCTGCAATCATCACAGGGGGGAAGTTTTTTCTGGGTCAAACGGCCCACCTGCACGGTTGAGATCAACATCAACTGCTGAGATCCAAATGTGCGTACCATGGAGCCTACTGAAATCAGGGCAGCATGGCAGCCCCTCCAGTCTCCGCGGCAGTGTGGCACTTGGCTCCCGCTTGGCAATCAACTCCTCTTGGCCTTCAAGTATGTGAGCACCAGTGGGTATGACTGAGACATCAGTTGCGTAAAGAACAATTCATACTACGTAGCTTCTCTGGCTTTTGAGCCACATGTACAACTTGGTTCAGGTTTTTGTTTGCCAGCTATAATTGGAGGTTGATGCAGAGACTTGAGTTTCAGCTTTGGAGCTTTGGTTTCGAACAAGTTGGATGCTCATTTCCTACGTGCTGTGCTTTTTGCTTCAAATTCCCAGGTCTCCAACGTCGGGACTGCGGTCGAACCTCAACTTGGCTTTGTGGAAAGCTTAGAACTGCCTGGCCAAGAAGTTCCCTTATAGACAAGTATTCTTGCAGGAAACGGCGGGAAAACTATGGTCAAGCTGTCCAGGATGCATCATGTTGGTCTTCCTGTTCCAGACATCATCGCTCATCGTAGGTACGGGTCGTAGAATTCAAAAATAACGACAGCACAACAAATAGAAAGACCTCCCAGCACCCATATACGGTCCAAGAAGTTGATCTTAGTGGTACTTTGCCATACTTTGCCTCTACCCCCTCTCCCGCGCACACAGTCATTCAAGAGATTCATCTCGCCACTTCACGGGAACTCTGAGGTCATCGCCATCGCCTCGGAGGCTTCGGGAACCGGCTCAGGAGCCTTCCCCGCAACTGGGAAGCCATGCTCCATTCGCTTGGGCGCCCATCCGCCCGGTGCCCTTCGGAGGCAAGTTGAGCAAAGTGAGCAGCAAAGTATGGGAGATGAAACAGTTTCCGCGCGAGGTTTGGAGAGGTTGACTTGTGTGGTTCTGAGGTTTCCTAGCCTGTCAAATCCAGCTTTCCATGAATTCCTGATGTTTCCTGCTACCATCGACTCAACAGTATGTCTTCAGCAGTTCATGTAAGGACACTAGATCTGGGACCACCGCGAACGGCGACTCACGGCATGCAGCTATCGCCAAACGCAGGGGAGCCCGAAACGCGTAGCTTAAGAACACGGCTAGACCTTGCCTAAGAATAGCTTGTCGATGAGAGTTTGGGTTGCATGTGCATAACACTGTGTTGGCACTTCGTCGGATCAGCGCAAACTTGAGGCATTTGATCATAAGGACTACTAGCTTAAAATGCTTCCAAACGCCATGGTGTCCAAATTCAGTGCTTGGAGTGCTTGCATGTTTTTCACCTCAAGGTCAGACCAGCTCCGTTGGGAGATCCTTGGCTTGGAGTTTGAGCTCAGAATCAGCAGTTGATGTGAGTTGACCCGAATTCTTCAGGTGGCATCAGCATGAATTGAAGCCATGCCACGTAAAGGTCCCAACATTGCACCATCCTAGAACCACTGTCCGAAGCCAGAGCTGTTGGCCTTGTCGAAACCAGACGGAGTCGTATTTTAGTAGTTTCGATGTTGTGGGATGCTGCAGCTGATCATGGCGTGCTTTGGTCCCTTCTCGGATGCCACAAAGGGCGCTTCGATGTTCAAAAGGGTGGACGACGTTGGCGAAGGCCTTCGAAACAGGTTGATGACATTATCCCATTCTATTCTATTCTTGGCACTGTCAAAGCATGTGCCGCACTTCTTCTCCAAGCGGCTCTCCACAAAAGAAGACCCCGGTCCAGATGTCGTTCACACCGAAAACTTTGCAGAGTTTGCTTTCTGAGGTTCGGACTATTCCAACCAGAAGACCTGGTGGGAATGAGTCCAGATATGGAGGTTCTTCTCCAGAGGAAGTCGGAAGAGAATGCGCGGCATCCCATGTGGCCAGCCTCTGAGTTTGGGCAAATGGTGACCGTTGATCAAACACAAGGGATTTGGGCCGTGAAACCATCATATCTGGGCCAGTGTCGTAAATTGAAACGAATGTTTACTGTTCGGGTTCTCTCTTTGGAAAAAAGAGCTGGCCACACTGGCTGGCGCGCCCCTGAACTCTGTGCCCAGGCTTTGTGTGTGGGGGTCTTGTCCTCTGTCCTGCTGTTGTCCTCTGGTCGCGTTGGCCAACCCTGTGTCCTAGTCTTGTCTTCCTCTTCTCCTCTTGCCTCCTCTTGTCTCTTGTCCTTTTCTTGTCCTCCTCTGGCCGCGCAACTCAACACTGTGTCCGGAGCCTGTCCTTCTCTTGTCCTCCTCTTGTCCGTCTCTTGTCCTCCTCGCTTACGTGGCTTTCCGAGGAAGAGGCCGGGGCTGCGATCGCCCAGCACAACAACAATTCTTGCCAACTAAGCTGTTTGGGGTCTATGCTGGTATACTTTATTGTGCTTTTCAATCACTCTTGCAGGATCCAACACACACTGAGCAATGAATGCTGAAGGGTTTTCTTGTATAGCAGGGCAGAGGCTGCGCTATCTTCCCACTTTCCGAGAGAAACGCAAAGTGACGGTAGCATGTTCACCGGAACATATCTCACAATTCTGCACGAGTTGTGTGCTTTGCTATATGCTGGTTTAAGCGGTCTTGAGACACAGCTAGGGCATTCAGAGATGCACCTTCTTGGAACCAGCTGTTATTGCTCAAACTCCACCCTTCAGTAGCACCAGCTGTTATATCTTGTCCTTTACCAGTTCGCAAGCTCGCCCAAGCCCGGATGAAAGAGAAGATCTAGAGTAAACAACAATGGCACGCCCTACCTGCTACTCAAGGGAATGATCCACATCCACAGGTTGAAATTTGTGGTCCAGTCCAAAAGCACACTTCTTGTGGTGCATGTCCGAAATGTGCCATTCTCGTGTGTGTGTGTGTGTGCTTTCTCTCCATGTGTCTTTCCCTTTTGAAAGCTGTTCAGGCCGATGAGAAAGAAAGGTTGCGCCAGGCCGGCATGTGCAAGGGTGCTGCTCGGGGAAGCCCGTGGTGCGAACGCTTGCGGTGAACTCCCACGGCAAGTGCCATAGCCTTGCGTTCAACATCATCCAGCAGGGAGAATCTGAGGGTTTTGATCACTTTTGATCCACATCCGCTCCTTGTAAACTGTGGCCGTCGCATGATATTTCAGCTGCCAAGTGGATCAGGCTGTATGCTCATGTTTGTCACTCCAGCAGTGCCTCGTTATCTTTTTTTGCGTGCATCCTTTGCAGGCCAGAAGCAAGATGGCTGCTCCCCAGGCATCTTCGACTATCAGCAATTGCACAGTCCTAGCGTATCTCAAGCACACCTGGTTTAAAGAGCACTATAATCTCCAAAGCCTCATCAGTTACCTTTCCATCTCCTTCATGCACAGTTCCGCAAGATAGCTGCAAGGCGGACGATGAGCTATGGGAGAACGCGCTGCTGGAATTGGCACAGAAGGCTCTCCCTCTCACTCTGATGGCAAAGGGCTGCAGTCCGAAAGGGAAATACACCTTTACTGTTTGCAGGCACCAAGCGTCCGAGTCTTTCATCCACATGACGATGATGACGACTATATGTACAGTATCAAGCAAGTCCTGTGTTTGAACTCAGTGATTAGTCCTCGAATGTACTATCAGCAAGGAGAATCTTGTAGCCAGTCCCACTATTACCCTGCTTTGCACTAGCGCAAGTCTATGCGAGATCGGGATCCTGCCCCCGAAGAAAAAAGTGACACAGTGTAGTCCAGGCCCAGTTCATCGAAAGCAACAAGACACAAGCGTGTATACACACAACATCACACAACCGTCATATCACAGCAAGGCTTGCAATGATCCAAGGCTTGCAGGAGGTGCAATAGGGCACAACATTGACTTTCTAATGGGTACTAAACTTGCAAGAACACAAGCAGTGGTAAGTTGAGCGCGCTTGCAAAACACATTTTCGTTCTGTTCACATCCGCTCTTGTGGCTCGTGTCAAGGCAGAGGAGGAGTTGAAGTTAGCGTCGGAGTTGCAGGCACGTGTTTCGTTCTGTTGAATGATTTGACTGTCGTGGCGCTGACACCAGTCACCACCAACAATAGCAAACAGTTGATATCAACCAAGGGTTGACAGAAAGAGAAGATGAAAGAAGTTGTTGAACTTATTCTGTGCTCAATTGTGGCTGTAGTGTAGTGTGGCTTCATGCGCGTTGCCTAGTGTGAGAAAGGCAAAATTCGACGCGCTCACCATGCAGAACGAGCAACTGCAGCAGGAGCTCAGTCAGGCCTGCATGCCTTTTTGTGGACCGCTTTGTCGTATTGCAAACTTGCATATGACTGAGACGGTCTATATATTTATGATGTGCTTCTTCCCAGTCGCTGACAGGCTGCAAAGAGAGAGCAAGCAACTGAAAAGAGCGAGCAAGCACTCGAGGTGACTAGTGGCTGGACGGCTTTACTTTGGTTGCTGGTTGTAGACTGGTGGACTGCGTTCACACGATCACCGGGATGTTCGTGAAAAGAACAAGGATGGCAAAGGGATTACTTTGCCAACTTTGCCGGTCCGTCACGTTCCCTGAATGTTCTTGTGTTGCTGCTCTGTGCGATTCCAGCTTCTTGTACAGCAATAGCACGGCACAGTCAGTTTGCTTTCTCCTTGCAGGCAGAGAAGAACGAGCTGAGGAAGCAGTTGGAAGACAAAGAACAAGAGGCCGAATCAGCATCCTGACCCTACAAAGCAAATTTCCAAAGCCAATACATATCTTGATTGTTCCATGATTCCATGATGTTTCAGCTGCCCAGTGTGTCAGTTTGGTATATTCATGATCGGCTTCGTCCCAGGCCAAAGCCAAAGAGGCCGCGTCCCAGGCACTTCCGAGTGGACCGATCTAGTGGCCTGGGACGCTGGTGCACCGGGCATTGGCAGCTGTGTCATGGTGTCCGTGTGTCCATGTGTCCAACAAATACATGGTGTGTAAAAGCTGTGTTTTCTCGAGCTTTGAGAATGACTTCATACTTAAATATCTTTCTGTGCGGAGGACGAACAAAATTGAGATTGAAAGCGTCAAACCGTGCTTCTAACCCTTCAGATTTGATATTCTACAGCCCTCATGTGGATTGATGTGTACCTCTTCATTAACTGGCAAGCCCAGTCGTGCGCATGATCAGGCATCACATTACCTTACACTGCTGAAGTTTGGGTAACAGCATGGTTTCTCAGTGTTCTTCGTTAGGAGTACACATAGTTTGATCATACGTTGTGCTTTCAACTCTTCCTTCTCCACGATTGTGTACGTGTCAAATTACGCCCACAGGTGCAAATTGAGCTTCTGAAGACCGAGCTCAGGGAAGCACAGCAGAAGGCCGCGTCATCGCAAGCATTGCAGACAGCTTGGAAGCGGTGACCTACCGATCAGACCTCCGGCACCTCCGGTATGGTCCACGTCAGACTTCCTGAGCTCGCCGAACAGCTTCCGAGATCCTTTGACATAGTGGATCGCAGTCGGGCCCGGAATTGGCGTCTGGACCCGCTCCTTCGGCCTATTAAGAGAAGGCTTGGTGTTCCACTGTTGACAGGCAGAGTCAAGAGCTGCTGGAAAAGAGGCCGCAGATGAGGCTGCTGGAGTGTTGCGAATAGTTTCGAACATGTTGTGTGACATGTGCCAGACAATACTAGTTATTTCCTTACATGGTCGTGTCAGTTAGGAGCGTTGCATGTTGAGAGACAAGATTAAGATTCATAGGCTCATGGTGATTTGCATGCATTGTTTAGTCCTGCCTCATGTTCTTCCTGGTTGATCGCTGTAAATGACAAGGCCTATGCAAGAAGGGCGGAACAGGATGCGGAGCAGACTCAGGAAAGCCAGGAGGCATGCTGGTGGTGTGTTTTCTCTTAAAAAGGCCGGAGAGCCTCGCCTTTCGTGTCACTGCCTATTTTGGTTTAGCCAATTCCCCTTTTAGCTCTTCAATGATGTGGGTGGTAACGTGTTGTTTTGCTCTTAGTATGCATAGGGAAGCCGTGCGAAAAGGGCGGATGTAGACACGAAATACTAGCGATTCTTCCAGTCCGTAGGACTGAGCATGTTTCGAAGCCTCAAGCCCTTTAGATGTGTATACAGTGTATAGTCTAGTTTGTGCGGCTGAGTTTTTCACAGAATTTTCACGACAAACAGATGCTATGAGAGTTGTTCACTTGTACCACCTAAAACTGCTGCAGCAGACGTTGAAGGCACTTAACTCTGAGAATATAAACTTGTTCGCTGATGGACAGATGTAGAGACAAGGGACTGCAGGCATTCTACAGCAGACGTAAGTGTCCTGCCTCTTGAAAGTCTTTCCTACTCTGATAGTTGAGAACCCGGTTTGAGACGAATGGAACGCGAGAGTCTGACCTCGCATCACTTTGCTTTGGGAAACCGGAGGCCTTCTGTCTGAAAAGTACCCTAGTGTCTTTGGTCTGTGTTCACTCAATTTCGTCCTTGCTGTTTGATGTTTACGTTTCAATTGTTCCCGGAATGTTTCATCTCCTTGTGGCAGATCTATTTCCCTACATGTGGCTTGGTTCCCAGGCGCAACTTGAACTTTTGAAGAAAGATCTCAAGGATGCGCAACAGAAGGCCGCGTGAGTTATGTCGTTCGTTCCTGGCATTGAAAACAGATCCAAGCTTCATATTTGGAAGAAACTGTCTACCAATTCGACCTCCCTGTGGTCCACGTCTAAGTTGCTCCTGATAAGCTCCACACTTCACTCAACAGCTTCCGAAGTTCTTTCTGTACATAGAGGGCCGCATTTGGCCTTGTGTAGCATCCCAAGGCCACGGTGCATTGGCTTTTGCATGCTTTTGCTATATTCACGGATCATTCGGAAGCATCTCCAGGGTTCTGCCAAGCTGACAAGTAAACCATCCTTGCTTGCGATTCTTGCTGATGAGACTCTGCGGACTCGTGAAAAGGCAGAAGAAGCTAAGAAAGCACCAGAAAGCAAAGAGGCCTGCTGCCGTAGAGTTTGGATCTATATTGAAGGAGCAAACCATGGAACAGCATTCAACAGACCGTGCTTGGCCTGGGGAATCTGTGATCCCAGTCCCTGTCCAGGTCCAGCCGAGCTTGCCAGCGTCTGGGCCTTGGAGGACCTTGTCCTGGCAAGACGTCGCCCCATGGCAGTGTGAATCCAAGAGAATCGAAGGATGTAATTCATGAATTGGGAAATTGGATGCTAAGTTGAATCCCAAAAGATCCAGCTCTTGTTTGCACCAGATATCAGAAGCTGTCTCAGTGTTTGGACGAACACTGTGTCATACTGCCTCCCGAAAAGTGTTTGCCAATGCCTAGGGAATCTGTTGGTGAGACATCTGAGATGGACACGCAGAAGTCAGATGGCTGGGTCGCTTAGAATCGGGCGCAGTGAAGCTTCTTGAGGGACTTCCTGAAGGGAGATACGAAAATCATGATAGATTTCAGACAGGAAGTTCCTGGCCTCGGCCGGGCCCGGTGAATCCTTGGATGATTTTGATGTTGGGTGTGCCTGACTAATGCAGATCCTCAAGCTGCAAGTCGGTCCACTGTTCCCAATGTGTCATGCACTGATCCCAATCGTTTTATCGAGTTCTGAGTTCTGATCTGTCCATGGCATCGCCATTCTGAGGCAAGTTCCTTTCTCATCGACTCTTCAGATCTTTCGAAAGATTGATCTGGGACTTGACTCAATTTCAACTCCAATCAGGAAGGTGAACAGTAAAAAAACATTCAAAAAGAAGAACAAACTGGAAAATAGTACTGTACCATCAAGCACCCATAGCGTGACAAGCAACAAAACGTCGCATGAATCAGTGAAGGTCCTTCTTCCCATTATTTGATTCCCTCATAAAACTAAGCGCTGTTGCTCTTTGGCACCGTGGACACCTCAAGAGAGGAAACTTCACGGATCCACCCACTGATCCGCGGCCGGGCACGTCGGGGGCCACCGGCACCCGAAAAGGCGAGAAGCGTTGGGAGATCACCATCTCCAAGACGACGGACCCGCGACACCGAGAAGCGCGACACCAGTTGGGTCGACACGGGGATGGGTCGAAACTATATGGTGTCCAATGGGGCAGAAAAGAAACAAGCAAACAGTTCAAGAGTCTGTGCAATATGATTGGGTTGACCAACAGCCAGCGGAACCCCAGGAAACGAAAATGGGCCACAGAGAATAATCATAGGTGATGTGGACAACTTGTATCGTTTCTTTGCTGTGCAAGCTGGACAAGCACAAAGTCAATGCGAGGGTGCATAATATGCGTTGATGATGCTCTTTCTTGCCACGGTGAAATTTGTTAAAGAGACCGCACTAGCTGATGATGACTTCCAGACATTACATGTTCCGTGGAGCGCTCAGCATTCGCGGCAGTTCAAGGAGTACGAAGATCCTGGCCTGGGAGCTTCTTCGGTAGACTTAGATGATCGGAAGGCCAGGATCAGTACCTATGCAAAGAATAGAGTTTTACTTCAATTTGTTTCCCTGTTCATGTTTAGTGCCATTGAAACTAAAGGCTTTTCATGGAAGGGCATCAGGCGACAAAGTGAAGCTGCGTACAAGCATTCTGTGTTTGTGGTGAGTCCACTGAGAAAAATCAGGGTAAGGATTGTGCGAAGGATCCTACTTGTGTACTTGGTGTCTATGTATCGATCCCTGCAAGAGGATTCTTCGATGCATTTATTTCACTAAAAGTTCTCTTTTCCTACAGAAAGTTTGTTGCCGAGTGTTCCTTGCTGCCTTGAATCGTGTAACATTCCGGATCCTTACAGGGGTACATCAGGGTAGCTGTCCTTTTTAGGTAACCACAAACTCATACCAAATACACCGTTCATATCTTTTAAGTAAAACATTGATACTACTCCACTCACTCGTATTGCATATGCATATGGGCCTCCACTTCCCGCAGGTCATTCACGTGGACTGCTTGGAGAAAGGAGGTCTCTTCGAGGTGTTCGGCTGACTGTCGTGGCGGTGGTGGTGGTAGTGGTGGTGATGTAGAGGAAGACATCCAGAGCCTTGCTGTTTGACTCTTGGTAAAGGAGAGGTGGTGTTCAAGTAAAATGCAAAGCAGAGCGGAAAGAAGGTTGCAGGTAGAAGATGGAGAGCGATGATAGATTCTGTGATGAGCTTTGTGCTGAGCTATCAGAAGACATGTCTCAAGTCGCCCCAACAGTTGCACCAGGCATGGAACGACAAGTGTTTGGCTACTGGGGAACTTGACAGTGTGACTTGGTAATCGAGTCTTCTGTGCTGAAGATCAGCCGTCACGGGGAGATGGGTGATTGGTCAGAAGTCTCACGTTCATGTGGACAAAACATACACTAAATGGATCTAAATGGCAATGCCTTGTGGAGGACAGTAGACGTCCAGCGGCTCAGCAAAGGCCATCAAACCCACTTTATAAAACAAAAACAAGTTGTCCTTTTAGCATTTCATGTGTTGCTAGCACCTGGTGGAAGTCCAATATACTTGTTGCTATGTTGGGCGCGGTGCGGATATAGGAATGCGTGGACATTTCCTTGCGAGCAGAATGTATCTCTTTTCTTAATCGGTGTGACCGTTTTGATGCAAACAATTGAGTTCCTTGAGAACAGGTTGTAATTGAGGTTTGTAATTCAAGCTACTTGAATGTTCACCCAAACTGCCGGGCTTTGGTCCTTGTCCGCACTCCCTGGGCAGAATTTCATGCCACTGCAAAAAGAGCCGCTTCTCTTGGCCACGACGCAAAAGGTGGTGAGGCCGGGGGACCTCATCATATCCTGCAACGGCGTGACCAAGATTGAAGAGATGGCTCAGGCGTAGCACCGACGGGTCGACCGGGGATTAGGTTCGTGTTTCGGGATGGAAGACCTGGAAGTCGGGGAAGTCGGAAACACCAGCTAACCCAGTGTGATTTTGAACTACAGTTTTCGGACAGAAAGCTGATTGGAAGTGGTGAGATGTGGAATAGGGGTGGATCACATCGGCAGACCTTGCCGTATTTTGCTAGAGCTGGGCACCCACACCTTCAGGAGGACCCGTCCTTTTGTGTCGTGGACGCGGGGACGGCCCGCACCAATACATGGAACTTTGCCAAGTGTTTCAGTTCTTTGATGCAGATCTTCAGGTCAAAGGTCTCGAGGGCGAGGGCCAGATACTGCACACCACTCAAATTATTAAGCACAACGCTCCTGTAAAGACACTTATATACGACTGTTTCCGCAATAAAGACTTGTGAATATTGAAGGCGTCCTGGACCATGAAGGAAGTTGTCCTCAACAATTCACCTGAAGCGAGCCGTATCATGAAGTTCTAGTGATGTACTTACTGCAGACTAGTCCAAATCGTTGGATCAGTCGCAGACTTCGGAAGATGGGAGAGATATCTTCATTCAAGCAGATACTGTCCAATTTCTCCATCATTTTGCCACATGCATCAGATACAGAGCTAAAAGATGCGACGCTACTGGACGAAGATCCAAAAGAAGGTTGAAAGTCGGTCAATGAACTATTGAACTACTGCAATAGTGATTTCCATTCTTTCAGCTCACTTCCAGATGTTGGACCTGTGCAGGAATTATTTGGCTCCAAGAAGACGCTGCACATAGGCCTTCTTCGAGAGGCGGAAGGAGGGAGGAGTTCATGGTCAACACGGGCTTAGGACTTGCAACCCTAGAAGAAATGTATCACTATACTGTAATACATGTGAAGGGTGGAATATATGTTCCCTGTCCGCTTAAACATGTGGTTTAGTCGTTGTTGTATGGTGGTTGAGAGCCCCACTTGCACTTGCATTGTTTCATCGTGCAAACAGAGGATCACAGTGAACAGTTTAATTACATGAAACAATAAATATGCAAACATTCCCACTGGATGGTTCGGCAGAGAGGAGCAGGTAGCCCAACTCCAAGGAATCGGAGCCAGACGTTTTTGATTTATCATGTATGGCCTCAAGTGCTTGTACCACTTCTTTGGCTTTTGAAAGGCGTCATGGAAATACTATATCAGTTGGATTCTTCCTTGGCGAGGGATTGGTCTAGAGTCTAGAGCATCTGCAACTTTCTGCGGAGCACATTCAAAGCTCACAGCCCTCCTAGAACCTCGTGAGACGTTTCCGGAACCTACCTCCGCCTCCACCTGGAGCCTTCACTGGGCACCGACCTGAAGCTCCAGGGCTGGAAACGTGTCACTTGAGTTCACCTGGCCTTTTCAAGCTCGGAACCTTCATACACTATTTTACACTTAGAACTTCTCCAAAAGCTCCCAGAACCTTCCGGAAACCGATTCGCAGCAGCCTGTGGCCTAACAGAATCCAGCGTGAACACCTCATGGAATCAGACATTTGGACCCACCCGAAAGTCCTTCTACAATTTCAAGCCTCACCGCATCGCTGAGCTTTTTCAGAATCTCCT